ATGAAAACCGTCAGCTAACCTCATACTTAATCTTGAAATACTGAATGCTTTTACCTAAGATCAGGAACAAGATAAGGCTGTACATTGTTACTACATTTATTCAACACTGAACTAGAGTTTCTAGCTAGTTAATTAGGCAAGAAAAAGGAGTCCAACTATCTCTATTCACAAATAATATTATCTTGTATCTAAAAATTCCTAGGGAGTCCAGACCCAAAAAACTATTAGAGTAATAAAAGTTCATCATGGTTTCAGGATACAAAATCAATATACAAAAGTCAGTTGTATTTCTTTTATTTTTAAATTTTAATGGTAGTAAAATACAAATAACATAACATTTAGCATCTTAATCATTTTCAAGTTACCACCATCTATCTCCAGAATTCTTTTCATCTTACAAAACTGAAACTCTATACCTGTTAAACAAAACACTGCATTCCCCTCCCCCTACATCCTCCTGGCAACTACAATTCTATCTTCTGTCTCTGTGAATTTGATGATTCTAGGTACCTCATAAAAGTAGTATTTGTCTTTTTGTGACTGGCTTATTTCATTTGGAATAATGTCCATAAGGTTCATACAGATTGTAACATGTCAGAATTTTCTTCCTTTTAAAGGCTGAATAATATTCCATTGCATAAATATACCACAATTTGATTATCCATTCATCTGTTGATGGACACTTGGGTTGCTTCCACCTTTTGGCTGCTGTGAATAATGCTGCTATAAACATGGATTTGCACATTATCTCTTTGAGACTCTGCTTTCAGTTCATTTGGATATATACCCAGAAGTAAAATTGCTGGATCATATGGTAATTCTACTTTAAAATTTTAGAGGAACTGCTATACTGTTTTCCATAGTGGCTGCACCATTTTACATTCCTACCAATGCTCAAGGGTTCCAGTTTTGCCACAATCTTCACCAACATGTGTCATTTTTTTCTTTATTTAATAATAGCCATCCTAATGGTTATCAGGTGGTATTTCACTGTGGTTTTGATTTGCATTTCCCTAATTATTAGTGATGTTGGGCATCTTTTCAAGTGCTTGTTGGCCATTTGTATATCTTTTTTGGAGAAATGCCTATTTAAGTCCTTTGCCCATTTTTAAAATCAGGTGGTTTTTTTGTTGTCATTGAGTTGTGTAAGTTCTTTATCCTAGATATTGACCCTTTATAGATATGTGATTTAGAGATATTTCCCCCCATTCCGTGGGTGCCTTTTCAATCTGTTGAAATTGTCTTTGATGTACAGAAATTTAAAATTTTGATGTCCGATTTATCTGTCTTTTGTTGCTTGTGCTTTTGGTGTCATTTCCAAGGTATCATTGACAAATTTAATGTCATGAAGCTTTTCCTCCGTGTTTTCTTCTAAGAGTTTTATAGTTTTAGCTCTTATAGTTAGGTTTTGATCATTTTCAGTTAATTTTTGCATATAGGATAAGAGTCTAGCTTCATTCTTTTGCATGTGGACAACCAGTTGACCCAACGCCATTTGTTGAAAGATGATCTTTTCCCCCATTGAATGGTCCTGGCACCTTTGTTGAAAATCATGACTATAGTGAGGGTTTATTTGTGGGCTCTCTATTCTATTCCATTGGCCTATATGTCTGTCTTTATGCCAATATCGTACTGTTTTGATTACTATGGATTTGTACTAAGATTTTTTTTTTCTTTAAATCAAGAAGTGTTACTGATCCAACTTTGTTGTTTTTCTGAGATTGTTTTGGTTATTCAGGGTCTCTTGAAATTCCATATAAATTTTAAGATAAATTTTTCTATTTGTGCAAAAAATGCAATTGGGATTTTGGTAGGGATTGAATTTGTAGATAGCTTTGGGTAGCATTGATATCTTAATAATATTGTCTTCTAACCATGTATATAGGATGTCTCCTATTTATTTATGTCTTCTTTAACTTCTTGCAACATTTTGTAGTTTTCAGTGTACAAGTCTTTCATCTCCTTGGTTAAGTTTATTCCTAAGTAAAAAAATCTTTGTATTTTTTTTAAGTTTTCTTTTTCTTTTTTTAAAGAGATGGGGTCATTTCTCTGAGCACTATGGAAAGTAAAAAAAGAAAAAAGAGATGGGGTCTTGCTATGTCTCTAGGCTGATCTTGTTAGATAGGGACCAAGAGGAAGGGGAAACCAGTGTGCAGGTGGGATGAGGGAGATTTGGTAGAGAAACTATTGCTGGACCATTAGAGGAAGGTAGGAAACCCACAAACCTAAGAGATGGCCCAACCGTGGAAACAGACAACTTGGAACATGCACACAGATGAGCTTGGCAGTAACCTTAGGTGAACTACCCCTTCAGTAGAGTAAAAATCACACCCCCCGTAACCCACCCTCCATGACAGTTTACAAATGCTATGGCAACCCCAGAAACTACTTTGTAAAACCAGAAAAGAGGAGGGATTGAATTCTGGGAACTCTCCACCCCTTTCCTGTAACTTCCTGAGTAATCTCTCCCCAGCTTAGCATATTATTAAGAAAATAGGATAAGAAACCACACCCCTTTCTAAATCAGGGTTGTCTCCACTAACGGGGATAAACCTGTCCCCTCTCCAGGATGTTGTGTGCTCAATAAATCTTGCTGTTGAGCATGTTTATATCCATTTGGCTTGCTCATTTGTTCTGTCAACTTGGTACCAGTCACCATTCTTCGGTACTGTGAACCAAGAACCAGGGAATACAACATGAACTCAAACCTGACAGTCTCAAACTCTTGGATTACAGTGATCTTCCTGATTTAGCCTTCCATGTAGCTGGGACTACAGGCATGTGCCACCATGCTCAAGACTTCAGTTGTATTTGCATATGCTAGCAATGAAGAATCCAAAAATGAAATTCAGAAAAACAATTCAATTTACAATAACATCAAAAAGAATTAAATACATATGAATAAATTTAACAAAAGAAGTACAGGAGTTGTACATGGGAAACTACAACACATTGTTGAAAAAATTAAAGAAGACCTAAAATAAAAGGAAAAACATCTTATATTCATTGCAAAATTTAATATTGTTAAGCCTATATTCCCCAAATGATCTGCAGATTAAATGTAAACCACATCAAAATTCCAACTGTCTTTTTTACAGAAATTGACAAACTGAATCTAAAATTCACATGGAAATTTTAGGTACCTAGATTAGTCAAAACAGTCTTGAAAAAAGGAGTTGGAAGACTCACACCTCCTAATTTCAAATCTTACTACAAAGCTATAGTGATCAGACTGTATAGTATTGGCATAAGGCCAGATATTTAGATCAATGGAATCGAACTGAGATCCAAAAGTAAATGCATACATTCTGGTCAATTGATTTTTTTTTTGAAATAGGGCCTTGCTCTCTTACCCAGGCTAGAGGGTAGTGGTATTATCACAGCTCACTGCAACCTCAACTCTTGGGCTCAAGTGATCCACATGCCTCAGCCTCCTGAGTAGCTAGGACTATAGGCATGTGCCACCATGCCTGGTTAATTCTAAATTTTTTGTAGAGATAGAGTCTCATTATGTTATCTATGCTTAGACTCCTACCTTCTGGTGATCTTCCCACCTTGGCCCCCAAAGTGCTGGTATTACAGGCATGAGCCACCATGTCCAGCCTTAATTGCTTTTGATGCCAAAATAATTCAGTGGAGGAAGGAAATAGTCTTTTAAATAAATTGGTGCTGGACAACTGTATAACCAAATGCAGAAGAATGAATCTGGATCCCAACCTCTCATCATATACAAAAACCTACAAGGGAACAAAGACCTAAACTTAAACCTATGAAACTCTTAGAAAAAAACATAAAACATAAACCTTTATAACATTGGATTAAATTACATCGCCTTACATCGTCCTTTCCCTTTGATTTTCAGTTAGACTTTTAGGACCCTAAAGAGCTCATATAAACTCACTGAAGAATCAAAATGATGCAAGCATTCGTCTTATCCAGAAGAATCCCAATGCTTAATTTTACTATTTTCATTATTTTTTAAATACTTCCATCTCTACTAAATGATCACAGTATAGTATACCAATTCTCAGTTTTTAAAAGAACTCTTCTATATCTTCTGGTCTCAATCTGAAAAAGAAGTGGGCTGACTACCATGTTCTAGGCCCTACTCTCACCAGAAAAAACTCCTTTAAACTCTCTCAAGGCTGTCACAACACCATAACCTTCAGCTTCCAACATAGTCAGTATGTCTGGTGTTACTGATTCAGTTTAAGGGAAAATTCTGTTCCACTTGACTGATTCTGTTTAAGGGGAAATTTCAAATAAATCATTGAGAAGCATTGTAACTGGCCATTTTTCTTGCCAGCATAGACCAGCTGGTCACTCCACTAAGTGAAACTCTGATTCAAAATTTCTTTCCCTGAATAATCAATATTTTCAATCAGAATCACACTGATGAACTCTGCTAGTTTTTTGGTAAAAAAATCAATTTTACTGTATTCCAAGAGTAAAAAAAAAAGTATTAAATCAACATTTATACATGAGAATCATAGGGTTGAATGAGCTCGTTAGAGTCATATGATCTAACCCTTTTTGAATGTGTCTATCTATTACACTCCTGCCATTTCACCCTATGCTCAAACATCCCCTATTGCTCAGAATTTACTCCCAAGCTTGCTTGTTATTAGAGAACTAAGTTTCTTCCATAGAATGAATTGAACCTTTTGCCCCATGGCTCCTGCCCTCCGGTCTTATTCTCTGCTCCCATGGGAACACACACACACACACACACACACGCACGCACGCACGCACGCACGCGCACGCATAAAGGCCATGGCCTCTATAATGTGTCAGTTCTCTAGATGCTAAAGACAGAAATCAAGAATAGATTTTCTAATATCTATTTTTACCTAGTTGGCAAATAGCCTTAAAAATAATTTTGGGGAAATTGTAAATTTACTTTCTAGAGAAAAATTATTTTAACCTTCAAGAACTGGTATAGAAAATTCTTTCCATGTGCCACAGAATTTAAAATAAACTAAGTTTGCAAACACATCATGTTAAATACATCAAATTATTTAAATTTTTATTATGACAATTGACATATTAAGTGAAAGAAATGACAGAAGTATTATAATAAAACATTTTGAAAGAAAAAGTTACACAATTAGGCCAATAGCTATAAAATAGCTGTAGGCCTGGCTTATAACACCAAGAGTTCTGATCAGACGGTAGTGAGACAGTGAACATTTCATTAACAAAATTATTGGCACTAGCCACAACATATTTTGCTTGTCACTTACAAGGAATATTGTATTTAAACAACTATGCACTGCAATTCTAACACACTAGGTGTTCATACACTGCAGTTACCCCTGAAGCTTTAAGCTACCAGGAATTGCCATACTTTTATGCACAAAATTTACCTTGTGTGTTATTGGAATCACATTTCCAGTTTTCAGATCTTCCCCCCACAACACACATGCAGTACGTTAATATGTGATGGAGAACACTCTGGCTTCTCCTAGTTGACTAACAGCATGGTCTTGATTACCTCAAAAGTTAGTTTTATGCTAATCATGGAGCTTTTGCTTTAACACTCATCTTCTAGAAACATTAAAGCATTCTGAGAACCTATTCCAGGAATAATTTTTTTTATGCATAGGAAAATAAAACATTTCATATAAGCATGTCTGAAAATCCAAGGGGTGTTCTGATCAAGCACTCCCTGAATCCAAGCTATTACTTTAAAACCAAAATGAAATTCTAAAATATACCATTTGCAAATTCTTATCTGGAATTTGTATTATTCACATGGAAACTCATGATCCCCAGGCTTCATCTCTGAATGGGTGAGGATAGCAAAGAAACAGACTTCCCACATTAGCTGACAACACATAAAGGCAGCTTTGATAGAAATTATAACATACTTGGATGATTTCAATTCTTTACAAGAACACACTTGCGCTACAAAGGTGAGAAATTAGAATGCCAAAATTATCAGATGGCAAAAAAGTACTGACATTTAAACAAAGGTATCAATATAACATGATAAAATGTGCCATGTAAAAGACTGTGCTAGAATCAGCAGTTCTGTAAGATTTCCACATACTTATCAAATAAGGAGGGAATTAAAATTTGAATCTCATTTCCCTTCCTGCTGTGTTTCAACAGACAAATATTCCTGTGGAATTAAGTCCACTGAATAACCAAATCAAGCAAATCTAGTTTTTCCTTCTTTTACAGATGAAAAAGAAACCAAGCCCTGCCCCACGCCCACCTCATCACAGGACATACCCTTTCAAAGTGTACACAAAACCTGTGGCAGGCTTGGGCAAGCTACAATTCAGATACCATCATCAAGAAGCTACTTTGATAAGAGAACAAAACACTAGACCAACACTGAAAATACCCTAGTTAGGCATCACAAAAATCATGCACTGTTAAGAATATGCTGTTAACACCCAAATTTGGGCTATCATAGCTGTTCTGATCCTGAAAATCCATTTGCACTAATATAAACTAGATCTGTGTGTGTATGTATGTGTCTGCGTGTGTGTATGTGTGCAATTTTCATGCAGTGATCTTAAAGCTTTGGAGATAGGGCTTGTTAGTCTAATTTCAAGGCTTGTCCGTATAGCAGTATTGACATGCACCAACTCTGCTGAAGGGGCAGGATAATGAAAAAGACATGGCACAAATTTCAAAACAATTTTAGGTTTAATTACATAATGTACCTGTAGATGTTCTAGCATAAACACAATTGTAAAAATCTACATCCTATTTTAGGGCATTTTCCCATTCCCATCCCTTAAAAGCTGTACAGTTATAAAAAAATGCGACTCTCAAGCAAAATAAACTTTTTTTTGTTTTGTTTTGTTTTTTTGGAACATACAAAATAAGTTAAAATGATTCAGAAGGCCTTGAGCCATTAAGTTCCCCAATAACTGTGTTCTGGCTGTCCATAAGCATGACACGCAGGCTCCTGGTCTATGACCAGAACTCAATAAATATAGATGAAACAAAACCCAAAACACTTAAATTAGATTTCTTTAGAAACTGATGAAAGTCAAGAAAATATATAGTTCGGGTTAACAATTCCATTCTCAACTTACATCATCCAGTGGCAAAAAGAACAAGGCAAGGTTATTCAATCCTTAGCACATTTTTTAGCTCGTACCGGTTTGGCAAAAAAAACATAAATGTAGTTCCTTTAAAAATGTTCTTTTAAAATGTCTAAGGAGCTTAATAAATTTCTGCTCATCTATTAATTTTTATGCCCTCTCATATAACTTATGTATAATATAGTCAAAGTTATTAAAATAAAAATATCTTCATTAACTGAAACCACTATAATATGCCAGAACTGGGTTTACCACATTTCACAGAGCAAACTGGTATAAACGTGGCATGAAAAAAAAAGTTGAGCTTAGATGTCCAAAATGAAGAAAAATCCACTAATGGGATTCTATTCTAATCAAATTCTGAGATGGTTTGTATTAATAAAAAAAAGTGTTGAGCGTACAAACTAAAGTGGTTATACACTAAGCTCATTATATATTGGCTTATGACTGCTTGCTTGGGAAAGACTATCTTCAATATGTTACAGTTACTTAGCAATTCTTGACACTCAAAAATATTAAATGATAATTTAAGTTAGAGTGGTGAACACATAACACAATAACCCAGTTTAAAAACACTGATACCAACAGGCCTTGTCTTTCAAGATTGGTATAAAAACAGTGAAAAAAATCAGCAGTTAGCTTGCCACTTCCAAGGTAGGTTTACAGGTACACACTGGGAATGTTGGATAAAATTGGAATGGATTTTAATCTAAGGAAGTTCAATAATGGATCATATTAAGCAAAAGAGGAATAGGTAGATTATAGCAGATATGTAGTCTTGGCATTCTCCACTTTTTGGAGAACCAGGAGTATATTTTAAGAATGTCAGACAAGTACTTTTCTATAGACTTTCTATAATTAAATGATATTCATGATTTTGTGTAAGTTGTAATAATTATTTGTCTTCTTTTAATAGTCAATGATGAATTCATTTTTATTTCTTCTTATACTTATCTGAAGTGTGTCTGTATGTATTTATATATATCCACACACATATATACACACCACTTAAACAAAAGATCTGGGTCTCTGAATATTTGTTCAATAGTTGTGAGGCAACACCTTGAATTATGGACCTGTTCCACTATGTTGGTGAAGAGTGGAGTTCACGACTTTTTCTGAATATTAAATCTATAGATTCATTAGGTTCCTTACAGTTGTATGCTAGAACTAGAGAGTGATTAACATCTCTTGTGCTCACAAATAAGCTAAAAAGGCATTCCTTGTGACAAAGGACATTCCATCAATCCCACTTAAAAATAGCTAACATTTCCCTATCATATTAACTCTCAATTTAAACAAGTAAATGTCTATATTTTCTTAATATATGTACTTTGCTCAAATGTATATTAAGGGATGAGTTTTATCAACCAAAAAAGTGAAAACTGGACAGTATGTAAAATCCTTTTAAAATTAATTGATTTACAAATCATTTTTCAACATATTTGTTAGCATTTGAAGTTCTTGGTTCTTTGGCCGGTCAATTAAAAAAATAGATTACCAGTAGACATGGATTTATTCTAAATGAAACTCACCTTTATCCTCTGAATCTGTAACCTTGAGCATTTGGAAAAAAGATGTCAAGGAAACCCAACCTCAATATACCATTTATATTCTTGAAAATATCTCTGCCATCCTTTTGCATTAATATGCCAAAAATGGAAAATGTTTTATACTAAACACCATTTCATTAGCACAAACGTACAAAATCAAAATGTGTATTATCAGTCTGAGTCCTTTTCACATATATTTCTATTCAAAGCTTCTACTTTGTGAAAATTTGGCTAGTTTTCAAACCTTTACAGAGATTGCAAAATATACTGAATGCTAAGCTACATCTCCCCTTAATACATCTGCTGTAGACTAGGGAGTCCAACTTGTATTTTTTAAAAAAAGGTTTAAATTATTAAAGGGCTCTATTATATAGTAGCGATTGTGACTCTAAATCCATGCGTTACTTCTCTAACAAGGATCTAAGATGGCCTAAACTCTAGATCAGTTACTGCTTTCCTATATTTTCTCTAGTTCCTAATGACTGTATTGTACCTTTGGATACAGAACATTTATTTTTTTTTCCATATTTTGGTTTTCTTTTTCCCCACTTCAAGGTATATTCAGAGTGAATATTCAGTTAACATAGGTTCTTTGAGGGACTGAATCTAAACACCCAGCAGCATAATTGTCTTTGAACTGTTCAAAATTTAATCACCTATAACCAATCTATCTGCATAATTTATATTTGTCAGCTGCTTGGATTACATTCTTGGTAGATGACCAATAGTTAATTGGTTTAATCAAAATGTAAGTTGAGAAGGAACATACTATCAAGTTGACAAACACTTATTCAAGTTTGGTAAATATCAGGCAGCAAAAGTGGTATCATAACCCATGTCAGTAGGACATTTGCTAAATGGAATACTCAGTCTTTACTACGATAAAAACTACTACGGCATTCTATAGCAGAAGAGTAAAAACAATTCCTTATTTCACATTAGGCATCCTGTTAAAATAAATTATCTCATTTAATACTACTTCTGATCATTGGCTTAACTGAGGAGTAGAACTAATAGGTGGAAGAAGCTGGTATGTCCAGAGGTAGAGACAGGGCACATGGTAGAGTTTCTACATGATAGTGGCTTTACCCAGCTGCAGAAGTAAAATAGTAGATGGAGAATGGGTGAAAGGGAAGGCCACCTGTACATTCGAACCACTTATCTTGCACTAGTAGGAATCCTTCAATATTGCCTGCCTGTTTTAGATAGTTAAAATGGTTAATATTCTTAGCTGACTTTCAAATAAATAAAACAAACCTAGCCAGAAAGGAGTTTCTGAAAGCGAATGTGGCTCCTTCCAAAGCCCTACTTTACTCTCTGTGAGTGAAAGCCCTTCCCTCCCTTCCAGTGGAACATTGTCTCAAAATAAAAATCACAACTTGCTTGGAACCACATGCTATTGATGCATCCTATTATTAGGCTGCTTTCATTATTTTATTTTTTATAAAGATACATATACATTACTAGAATCAAAGCAAAAATATTAATGGGCAGGTACTACAGAACTAAAGTGAAACAAAAGAACCAACAGCAACTGAAAAACAACAGCTATAAACTTCCAAGGCCAAAAGATGAGACTTAAGGGCAACACCTGTTGAGGAAAGGAGTATAACGTTCCTAGAGAGGTATTTAAGATGCAAGTCTAATGCCAGCTTTTTAATAACAAAAAAAAGAAGTGCTTTACTACATACTGACTAGCACACATAATACTTAATCTGGAAAGAAAAATTAATGAAGTTCCTTGGGCCAGCAGCAGATATGGTGTGCCCATTGCCGGCAACAGACACAACACTGGAACAGAAAAACCCAAATCCCAGGGCAAAAGTATTCACAGAAGTAATGGTTGAAAGTTTCAGAATTTGACAGGTAAGGTTTAATCACAAATGCTACACTCTGTACAATGTTATGGCTCTGCCTGAAATTTTACAGCTATAACAGAAACTAAATAAAAGTTCATATTTTAGTGTCAATTACAGGTTAGATATTTAGTTACAAATCCCTTTTTCTGGAAACAAAGGGCTTATCTTTCTTTAAAGTGTTGAGATGTTTGAAATGGATGTCATGCCTATTAAGTATATCGGCAGTTCTCATTCAACTCTACATTGTTTGTGTGACTATTAATGAATTTTAATAGAAGCCTAATGGCCAAAGGCCAAAACTACATTCAAACCCTGCTAATATATCCAGGCAGATAGGAAATTCTCTCTCTCTCTCTCTCTCTCTCTCACACACACACACACACACACACACACACACACACACAAACTCAAACTAAAAACCTCCCAAAGGAACTGCTTTGTTTGTAGACTTCAATTTGAAGTAGATACTAAGGGCAAGAATAGACCAGTTAAAATTCACCTAAAAATCCCTTTCCCATCTTCAAATGTGCTAAAATACTGCTGTCAGTTTAGCATCTCTTCATGTATGTTATATATAGATGTGTTTCTTTCAAAATGATATTTCAAATATTTAAACATCAAGTGGCCAGAAGACAAGAGTTACACTACTGGCAAAGTTTATATTCCACCTAGGCCTTAAGAAAGACCACACTCATTTCATTAATAACTCTCCATCAGATATAGTATATTAGAGGCCACTTTATCACCACTGCATAAAGCTATTTAAAAAAATCTGTCGCTAGCACAGTCTGGTTGTCAAAGCTTCATTATACATTTTACTGTACAAATGCTTTTCAGATGATTTTATTTTTTTAAACAAGAAATTCCGCTATAACAGAAACTTAGGTTAAAGGTTTTTATGATGGTACTTTCATGTTCTCTTCTTTATTAAGTGTGGTTATCTCCAGTAGTAAACAAGTTGATTTCACGAAAGCTGTTACTAAACGACTTATGTATGCTGTTATCTACAATTCTCAAACTGTAACAGTACAGACTTGAACTTTTAAACAGTCTGTTAATCATCATCTATGCCATGAATGTTTAAATATAATATATATTTAATATGAAAAAGCTAAAGCACAAGTGCTTTCTCCCACCCCTAAATTCTGCTTTGGGCCCTCACAGATTTGGAATGCATTCTTATCCACCCTTTTTCACAAAGTCAGGAGAGCTCAGGAAATATAAAGTCAAAAATATACAAATCTTTGTTGTTATTATAATAAGATTTTTTTTCCATGAATGAAATTACCAAGGACCATGAACTTGGAAAAAGAAAATCAAAAGGAATTTACAGCAATTATTTATCTTCAAAGTTCAAAACTGGTCACTTCACAGAAAGACTTCAGGGTTTGTTGAAACTTTTCTTCTAAAAAGTCATTCTGTAGTGGAGTTTTCTAGGAAAAATTAAACAGCTTTTAATAACTGGCCCGCTGGTGTGAGAGCTACCGTGGAATAAATTAGCACAAAAATGGAAAAAAAAGTCTTATAACTGTTCACTGTTACAGACATAATCAACAAGGTCAGTCACTCTCAAAAGCTCATCTTCCTCCTCTTCTGGTGCCCCTGCCTCCTGCCCACCACTTGTCCCATTGGGGGCTAGGCTTGCACCGGCTGTGCTGTTGTCCTTGGGGGTCTGAGGCTTCTCAGTTGGCTTGCCAATCAAGTTCTCAATGGCTTTGCCAGGACTCTGTCCATTGGTGGAAGGTAGGTCCACTAAGCTATAGTCCAATGGGCTCCCCACTTTGCCTACATTTTCAAAGTCCTCTTCATCATCACTTTCTATCCGGTAGGGCTTCTTGGTGCTCTCTTGTTCTGAGGGCAGGACCCTGGGCTGGCTGTCATGAGTGGGCTGATCTGCATCTCCATGAGCATTGTCACAACTCTCTTCCTCATCTGTCTCAATCCGGTGTAGCCGTTTGCGGGATGGTTTGCCTTCTTCTTCTTCCTCTTCATCTGCTTCTGAATATTCATCTGTACTTCGGCCCCGCTTTCGAATTGACCGCTTTGATTCTTTAGCTAGCTCATCATCTTCAGAGTTCTTGGACATATAGCTCTCTAGAATAAATAGCACATTTAAGCCATTGACACAGTTAACCATAAATGGATTTAAGTAATTCTCCCTTTCCTCCCCGTATTCACCCCATGTCCTATTCTCTCTCCTACTCTCAGACTTGCTTGTACATAAATATTCCCCTTCAATAATTGACCTGATTTCTCTCATCTCAGTCCCAATATGAATATGATTCATACTGTACTTTACCTATAATTTTATGCAAGTGTAGATTTCCTGGGGAAGAAAACTGATGATCCTTGAACTAAATGAAGATAGCTTGGTCACAAACCAAGAAACTCTTTACCACTAGTCCTCAAATTAGGGAATCACGTAAGCATACTGACAAGGAAAAATTAAAATTGGGCACCCAACTCTGTATATCTGAAACACTGTGCCAACTCTCATCTCATGTTATTAAATGCCCTTGGTAATCTTAAATGTCTTCTCTTTTTTGGCTATACAGTCAGCCCTCTGTACCCACAGATTCAACCAACCACCAATGGAAAATATACATACAAAATAAAAATGGATGGTTTTATCTGAACAGAACATGTACAGACTTTTTTTCCTTGTCATTATTCCTTAAACAATATAGTATAAAAACTATTTATATAGCATTTACATTGTATTAGGTATTATAAATATCTTAGAGATGATTTAAAGTATATGGGGGATGTATGTAGGTTATATGCAAATACTACAGCATTTTATATAAAGGACTTGAGCATCTGAGGATGTTGGTACCTGCAGGGGTCCTGGAACCAATCCCACATGGATACTGAGGGATGACTGTACTTATATCTTAATAGATCTCACTTAATCTCATGACTTTGTGTATCATCTATATGTTGATGACTTTCATATTTGTTTTAGGCAACCACTAAATTCTAGCCTAGTGTTATCAAACTACCTACTTAATATCTATGCTTGGATATCTAAACAGGCACCTCAAACCTAATGTGCCCCAAACTGAGCTCCTAAACCACCTCCTTACATCTGTTGCACTGTGGTCTCTACCATATTAGGTTTTGGCAACTGTTCTTCCAATTGCTCAGTTATTCTTGATTACTTTCTTTCTCTCTTCTAACCCAATAGTAAATCCTTTGGGTCTATCTTTCTAACATAGCCATAATTTGACTGCTTTTCAACCGTTTACTGCTACTGTCCTAATCCCTCCCACCCTCATATCTCACCTGGACTATTTCAATAACTGCCTAACTAGTCTCCTATCTTCTGCCTTTGACCCCTTCAATCTATTCATAACGTAACTACCATAGCAAATTAAAACCTAAGCCAGATCATATCACTCCTTTGCACAAAGTCCTCCAGTTGTTTCTCATCTCACACAGAACAAAACCCAAAGTATACATATGGACTACTCTGATATCCAATATGGCAGACTCTAGTTACCTGTGGTTATTTTAAATTTAAATTAACTAAGATTAATTAAAATTAAAAATTCAGTTTCATGGTTATACTAGCTACATTTCAAGTACTCAATAGGGACATGAGTTAGTGGCTAGTATTGATCAGCACAAAACAGAAAATTTCCATCACTGCAGAAAGCTCAACTAGACAGCACTTTTTCATCAGAGGCTAGCAAATTTTTTCTGTAAAGGGCAGGGCCTAAAGTCTCTGTCACAACTATTTAACGTTTTTCGAAAGCAGGCATAGTTTGTAAACAAATAGGCATGGTGGTCTTCCAATAACACTTGCTTTGCAAAAAGGTAATTTATATAAATAGGTGGGCTGTAGTTTGCTGTTGCTCTATCTGATCTGGTTCCTGCTGATCTCTTTCTTTCATCTTGTTACTCTTTCCCTCACTCATTCTGCCCCAACAACCCTGGAATCCCTTCTGTTCCCTGATCATGAGGGAGACATTGCCTCAAGGCCCTCATGTTTATTGTTGCATCTGCCTGTATCACCCTTCTTTTAGATAATTTTATGACTCATATACGTTGTTTCCTTAAGTCGTCCACTCAAATGTTGTCTTCTTAGTGAGAACTTCCTTTTTTTTTTTTTTTTGGAACTTCCTTTAGTTAATATCTGAAATTCCAAATATTCTTCCTTATTTATAAGCATTTATTTATCTTATTTATTGTCTTTTTCCCTTCCAACTGAAATAAGAGTTATTACATAAGGGCTATTTTGTTCACTGTTTTATTCCAGTGCATAGGATAGGGGCTAGTTCAATAAATATTTGTATTTAATGGTTAAATTAACTAATATATTTGTCTTTATGTCACATGAAGATAAATACACACTCAAAAAGATGTTCATCTCCCTTCTTTAGCCTCCCATATCCAAACATTTTTTTTCTCCTTTCTCTCCTGGCTTGGGCTCAAACTTTATTCAAGTTTAATCTATGAAAGCCACCAATCTTCAAAACAGACCATAAACAATGGTGAATTAAATATATAAAACAGAAAGGTGGAAAGGTGAGGGCTGGAGTCATTTAAAATGAGTTTGGGCAGAGCTCTAAAATAACTACAAAGATTAAATGGAGGCTAGATGCCTATATTCCAGCTACTGGAGAGGCTGAGGCAGGAGGATTGCTTGAGGCCAGGAGTTCAAGGCTATAGTGCACTATAATCACACCTGTGAAGAGACACTGCACTCCAACCTGGGCAACATACTGAGAACCCCTATCTAAAAATCAAAACCAAATCAAATCAAATCATAAATTTATGTATTAGAGTTTTTCCTACACTTTCCGTATGGGGCACAGCTAAAGCTATTAAAAAATAAAACAGTTACCAACTGAAACTCACAGTTAAGGCTGAGAGACAGCAGGCACTTTGGTTGAAACTATTCAACTACTCAGGGCACTGGAAGTTATTTTAAAATGAGGGCCATGAATAATAGGGAGGGAAAAGGAAAAAGGAGAGTAAATCTTGATCAGATCACAATTTTCTGAGACTCTTCTAGTTTTAATGAAAAACTTAATTATAGCCATGGAAATCTTAAAATTAGCCTTTTATCAAGTATTATTTAATGAAATTATAATTAGTAACCAGGCACAAAATTATGGGTTTTATATCACAATATGAATTTTAAAGAAATGGAACAGAATCATAATACGGAGTTCACTTTGTAACATTCATAGGATATCTACACCTTACCTTCACTCTCTGAGCTGGAAAGTCTGCGCTTGTGAACTCGTCTTATTTCTTTACCACGTCGTAAACTCTTCTGGGAACCGTCACTTTCTGAATCTTCTTTGTAGTTAATCTGTCTTTTCTGGTTTCTCCTTGACCGCCTTCGACGAGTTTCTACAAAATCATCACTAAAATCATCGCTGAAGTCACTTTCTATTAAAAAAAAAAAAAAAAAGGGAAAAAAAGGAAATCAAGTATAAAATTTAAGTCCATTAAGTAGAAACGTGGCTAGCTTAGGTTATAAAAATATAAAACTACTAAGCAGAGTTTGGTCATAAAAATTAAATGAATAATAATTTTTATAAGTCTCATTTATTCCTTTAATAATGAGTCAATCTATGGGGGTCTTGAATTCCAAGCCTCACAAATGTATATTATTAGCAGTTAATCCTAAAGATAGGAAATGTTTGATACTTTTTAAAAAATAATCTTTATTGCATTTGACCTGGTCAGGTACACAGCTACCACAGCTTCTCTTTGTAGTGGACAGTTACCAGAATCAGTTTCCTGATAATTTGCTGGTTCTACCTGTGGTTATACTCATAATGTACGGCAGAGGTTAAACCTTCTAACCAGAGAAAACTCACATACCTATTCCAAAAAAGTATAGAACTGGAGTTATATTTTTGGCTTTTCTCCATGTGGAATAAAAACCTGCTAAATAAAGCATACAGAGCTACTTAAACTCTCAAAGCATTGCTAAATGGCATTATTCTTGTCATCTCTGATCAATAAACCAGAGTGATACTATGGCATTATGTCACAGCTATTTTTCAGAGTGCTAACAAATTCCACTGAATTATCACATTCAAGTTTGTTGTTCTCTAATGGGTTTCAAATATTTTAAAATAGGTAGCCAACAGGTTTAAAGGATTCCCACTGGCCAAATCAAACCTAAATAGTGATGGTAATATAATATATCCACTAACTAAAATAAGAATCCACAGGATACATTGATATAAACAAATACATATACAAAGAAGAAGGGAAAGTTCTTTCTTACAGAATAAACATATAAGAGGAATGGTAAAGTTAGAAAATCATCAATAGATACTAGACATACTAAAACTAGTAGACGAAATATCTTGTAAGGACTGAGATATTTACATAGTCTCAAATTCCCACAAATAACTTGCTAATTACAAGAAAAAAAAATAGTAAAGCATATCCTGAAATTTAATTATTAGGAAACAGAAAAACCAAATTGAGTGACACTTTACAAAATAACTAGTTATGCATTCTTTAAAAATGTCAAGATGGGCCGGGTGCGGTGGCTCACACCTGTAATCCTAGTACTCTGGGAGGCCGAAGTGGGAGGATCATTTGAGCTCAGGATTTCGAGACCAGCCTGAGCAAGAGCAAGACCCCATCTCTACTAAGAAAAATATAAAGAAATTAGCTGGACAACTAAAAATATATAGAAAAAATATAGCCGGGCATGGTGGCACATGCCTGTAGTCCCAGCTACTCAGGAGACTGAGGTAGAAGGATTGCTTGAGCCCAGGAGTTTGAGGTTGCTGTGAGTTAGGCTGATGCCACAGCACTCTAGCCCAGGAAATAGAGTAAGACTCTGTATCAAGAGAAAAAAAAGTCAAGATCAATAGTCAAGGTCAATAAAAACAAAATATGAGGAGCATTCCAGATTTAAAAAGACTAAAGAGACAGAATAAATGCAATGTATAATCCTAGACTGGATCCTGGGCTAGGAAAAAAAATATGAAGGACAATATTGAGATAGCTGATGAAATATGAATGTGTAATGCTGATTACATAATAGCATTATATCAATGTTAAAATTTCTGTCTTTGCTAATTGTACTGTGGTTATGTAAGAAATGTCCTTGTCCTTAGGAAATAATCACTGAAAAAGGGGCATGATATCACCACTTATTTCAAAGGTTTAGCAAAAAAATATTAAAACAAAAGATCCAGGCAGGGCGCGGTGGCTCACGCCTGTAATCCTAGCACTCTGGGAGGCCAAGGCGGGCGGATCGCTCAAGATCAGGAGTTCAAAACCAGCCTGAGCAAGAGCGAGACCCCGTCTCTACTATAAATAGAAAGAAATTAATTGGCCAACTAATATATATAGAAAAAATTAGCCGGGCATGGTAGCGCATGCCTGTAGTCCCAGCTACTGGGAGGCTGAGGCAGGAGGATTGCTTAAGCCCAGGAATTTGAGGTTGCTGTGAGCTAGGCTGACGCCATGGCACTCACTCTAGCCTGAGCAACAAAGTGAGACTCTGTTTAAAAAAAAAAAAAAAAGATCCAGGCTTGGTGGCTTATGTCCATAAGCTCAGCAGTTTGGGAGGCTGAGGCAGGAGGATCACTTGAGGCAAGGAGTTTGAGACCACCTTAGCATCACAGTGAGACCTTGTCTCTACTAAAGCAAAAAATTAAAATTAGCCATGTGTGGTTGCATATGCCTATCTTCCTAACTACTCAGGAGGCTAAGAAGGGAGTATCACTAGAGCCCAGGAGTTTGAGGCTACAGTGAGTTGTGACAGCACCATTGAACTCAAGCCCAGGTGACAGAGCAAAACAGCTTCTTAAAAGAAAACAAAAACAAAAAAACCCCAAACACCACAATAGCCAGAGTCAGGGACACAATTCTCGTATTTGTGGCACTTCTCCATTAAAATGACATCTGCCAATTTGCCAGTTACATAAAGCATTCATATTTTTTCTTTTAGCTGTTGTGCCTCTCACTATTTAGTTAGTAAATAGGGATACACACAAGCTCTAATAACATCAACCATTGCTAATTTGTAAAAACTACTGAATCACTGATTATGGTCTAAATAGGAGAGGTAACTGATATTCTTCCCTTTCTGATAGCTGGGCACCTGAGGAAAATGTTTTCAGCTTCTTGAGAATGATTCCCAAGAAACACTTACGAAGATAAAGGTTAGACACAGAAGCTCTTGATAATAAAAGGACTCATAACAACACTAAATGAACATAGTATCAAGTTAATATATTGACATGTACATATTTTTCTCAGCTGTGCTTTATATGAAAAATTTAGTTACTGTCTTAAGAATGAAATTTTATTTTAAGAACTTGACTCCAGAAGTCATAATAATTTCTCATGTTGGTATGATATGGATACAAGTTATTTTTACCAGAGTCTCTACTATTCTCCTCAGATTCCTCCTCTTCATCGTCATCAGAGTACTTTTTCTTTGGAGTCTTCCTCCGCAAACGCCTGCTTTGCCTCATTGGCCGAGAGGGGTGTCGCCTCAGTCTACGGCTACAGAAATCAGTATCGCTGTCATCATTAGATGGTGGATCTTCTTCACTTTCATCTGGGTTTTCATCAGATACAACAAACTCATCTTGAGATCTGTCCAAGATAAACCAGAGAAATTATGATGGTATACTTTGAATAGCGAACCCATTTTTGAGTTCTGAGTTCAAATTCTATTGAGTCCAGGGAATCATTAAGTAACATATAGTGGAACATATCTGGATAATTCTATCAAACACCCTGTTTATACAATGGAGAAATCCTCCTATCCTTCTCTTGGGAGGGGTGCTAAAAATGAACTGATGCTGATTTTTGTACCTAAATTGGTTTGACCTCTTGGGATATACCCCATGTACCTTAACACATTGACCGCCACACTAGAAAAAAATTTTTTTTCCTTGTGGCCACGATGTTTTATTATGAAAATAGAATAAAAACTTCGAAAACAAAATGATCCTTTCTAATTTGGGGAAAAATCTGTTATTTTTCATTGCTTTCTGTGTGTGAGTTATATGCAACTTGAAAAATAGTTCATGCAGGTCCCAAGCTAAAGAGACATATAAGTTATTAATACATATGCTTCATGAGGCTCACGGCTCAAATCTAGCGTGAGTTAAATACAACTCACATGGCAATTAATGTGTTAAATCCAAGATGTCCAACAGTGAACGCATTATTTCGCTACCTACTGCTCTCTTCCCTTCCCCAGCCTGATATTTGGTACCATCACCCATTGAGTAAGACAAACTAGAAACTTGGTATTGAAACCCAGGCTATTAGGATAAATATCCAAATATTTCCCTTTTCATTTCTCACATCTAATCAATTACTAATTCCTCCTGAGTCTACCTGTTAAAAGATAATCGCTCAAACCTGATTTCTCTTCTCTTTTCAGGCTTTCATCTCACCTAAAATACAGAATCAACTCTGCAAATAGTTCTCTAATCTCTAGTCTCATTTCCCCCAATGTATTCTCCAAATGCATGCCAGGATGAATCTTTCTGAAACATAAATTTCACATTAGTCTGGTATTTAAAACTTTGGTTCTTAGCCGGGCGCAGTGGCTCACGCCTGTAATCCTAGCACTCTGGGAGGCCGACGCTGGTAGATTGCTCGAGGTCAGGAGTTCAAAACCAGCCTGAGCAAGAGCAAGACCCCATTTCTACTATAAAGAGAAAGAAATTAATTGGCCAACTAATATATATATAAAAATTAGCCGGGCATGGTGGCGCATGCCTGTAGTCCCAGCTACTCGGGAGGCTGAGGCAGAAGGATTGCTTGAGCCCAGGAGTTTGAGGTTGCTGTGAGCTAGGCTGACGCCACGGCACTCACTCTAGCCTGGGCAACAAGCGAGACTCTGTCTCAGAAAAAAAAAAAAAAAAACTTTGGTTCTTCATCATTTTCAGGATAAAGTCCAAATTCTTATGTATGACAAATAAAACACTCGATAATTTGGTTCTTTTTTTTATCTCTTGGCCACATCTCTAGCAGGGCACTGTCTATATCAGCCCTATATTCTTGCTATCCTGAGCACCCAGGAGGTTCCCAAATATTTCATAACACTGTATGGCTTACTATCTTGGGTATGTGACTTTTCTGCTTGGAATGCCTTCTTTCCTCATCTTGCTTCTAATCCCAAATGGTCTGATCTGCCCAAATATCTACCCTTCAAATTTTAGATCAATGTCTACTTCTACTGTGAGGCATTCTCTGACCTTCCTGGATGGAGGTAACTCTCTCTGTACCCTAATTTCTGCTTTACCTCTATTTTAGTAGCAGTCATGCAGAATGACTTTTTGGTTTATATGCTTGCTTCCCCCACTAATAATCTGAAAGGAGAAACTCTACAGTATTGTTTAAATACCTGCTCTGCACAGAAGCCTTTCCTGATTTCCCATACTAGATGACTTCCCCCAATTAGGATAATTAGGATAGTATCTAATTACTTATTTGTCACGCATGACTAGGAACCCCTCATGGACCTGGTTAGCAGAGGAACAGAAAGGGCTCTCAACAATGAAAGTGCAGTCGCAGTTATTCAAATTTAAATGGAATTTTGACTATTAAATAACCATAAGCCTACTGTTCTGTTTTAAAATAAGAAGGACCAAAATTAGCATTCTTGAATCTGCTTTAAATATCCTGAAAGTAAACAGAGATAGTTTATGTGCATGAAGAACAAAAGCCTCATGACAACATGGCCAAGCCTCTCTGCTAGCCCAGCTCTATTCAAGCTGGTATGTAAGGCTTGGGGTCTAGTGACAGACTACGCACCCATCACTGATCTTAAATTCATCCTCACTCTCTTCTTCATCCAGGTTGCTGTCACTGTCCAGATCATTTAGTCGCCGGCGTTTCTTCCTTCGAGCAGCAGCTGCCCTCTGGGGTCGTTTATTTTCTTTTCTTTCTTCATCCAAAATAGTAGAGATGTCTTTCCCACGATGACCTGTGATGGTGGAGATATCTTTTCCTCGGCCAACTCCTGAGTTTGGGGTGAATACGGGGAGAATAACTATTAAATGCTTCTCTTAAATTTTTAGAGACAGTCCTTATTGTTGCCTAGCAGCTTCTTCATTAGATTTATTTTTTTCCTACAAATATGCAGTTTTCTCACAACTTCAGCTGGCAGAGCTCTCATGGAGAGAGTTTTAGTACTCGTTTATGCTATTGAATGGAAGTTCACTATGTACAGAATCATTAAAATTTTTATATAATTATTATACCATAATATTCACCCTTCTAAAGCGTATAATTCAGAGATTTTTAGTATAGTCATAAGTTGTGCAACCATCACCATTAACTAATTCCACAACATTTTGATCAGCCCAAGAAGAAACCTTGTACCCACACGATAAGCAGTCATTCAAGAATCTTTTCTTGAAAGCTATCTTTTGGACAAAGCTTTAGAAAAAGGCCAATCCACTTTTCAAAAAACTATGTTTTCAGGACAGAAAAAGTGAAAATTGAGGAGTAAAGATGTAAATAAGGCGCCAATCTCTTGAGAAGCCTGTGACTTCTTCAGTTCCTTTACAAACAGCCTACTTAATCCTTCCCAGAGTTTTCATTATAACTAAGTACAAAGCAGTACTTTGTTCCATATCATAGCATTGGCTATATAATGTTTGAATTAAACTGCTTTCAAATTTTTCTATTATTTTAATGCCACCTATTAAAGACTATAAAATCAATAAACTGATTTTCATAGGTTAATTTAAAGCAATCATTTAGATTCTGATTATCCATAATTTTGAAACTATAGTACCAAAGACAACAAAAGTAAACTTTTTATCTATGGAGGAACATTAACGTTTCATAACAGATCATAAAGCAAAACTATATTAAAAATACATTGTAACATCTGAGTCCATACACTGACGCTGTGTCCACAGATTTGGATCTGATACAAAGATTATTTTGGATCTGAGACAATGAATATCACTAGTGATTGTGATGTACACTGGGGAGGAGAATCAAACATTATGATCACTACCCTAATTTATGAATTAGGCAGAGTTACATGAAGAAGAGAGAATGACAAATACATACCTCCTCCATCAGCCTCTTTGATATCATCTTCTATAGCTTCATCAATTGCTTCATCAAACTCATCAAATCTAAAATATATACAAGGATCACATTATACAGCCTGTCCTGTTTTTGATTTTTTTTTTCTTGAGACAGAGGTTCACTGTGTTGCCCTGGGTAGAATACAGTGCTGTCATCATAGCTCACAGCAACCTCAAACTCCTGGGCTCAAGCAATCCTCCTGCCTCAGCCTCCCGAGTAGCTGGGTCTATAGGCGTGCGCCACCACACCCAGATAATTTTTCTATTTTTAGTAGAGATGGGAGCCACCATGCCCGGCTAATTTTTTCTATATATTTTTAGCTGGCCAATTAATTTCTTTCTATTTTTAGTAGAGACGGGGTCTTGCTCCTGCTCAGGCTGGTCTCCAACTCCTGACCTTGAGCAATCCACCCACCTCGGCCTCCCAAGAGTGCTAGAATTACAGGCGTGAGCCATCAAGCCTGGCCTGTAAAAACATTTAATGCACTCTTTCACTGTAAACATTTCTATACATTTCATACCTGTAACTTATACATTTCCGTGTCCTTGTTGACCGCCTTTCGAGCAAGTTTGCTTTGGATTTTTTTGAATCTTTTTTCTTTTCTTCATGATCTTCAGAAAAATCTGGCTCCTTTAAAAATATAAGTATATAGGTTATTACTTATGTTCCTCAGAATGAATAGAATTGTAACCACCATATATGCAGCACATGTGAAAGGTTTGAAAAAGTTTGAGATGATCCCCCTAAAACTGAATAAACATGACAACACTACGTATACAGATTCAAAGAGACTACTGGTGATCTATACTAAAATATTTATGCTTCTGTAAGTTTATAATTAGAACTTGTTTTAAAATAACAATGAAGTTTTTCCTTGATATATCTTTAAACAAATAATTATATTTGACACAAAATATTCAACAGATATGCTAAATGAATGAAATGATGGATTTAGAAGAAAGGGTTGATGTTGAAGGAAGGTAACTTGACAGGCTATTTAATCTTGTGATTTAATTAAGCCTCAATGAAACTGCTTATGAAATGAAGAAAATTTCTTCATTTCAAATGAAAAACCATGTTTCATGTACTTTTACTCATGAGATTTCATTAATTATAAATTAATCAATGAAAAACAATGGTAATACTTCAAAGAAAACGAAGCTGTGAGGAAAGATACAAATTGTAGTTTTAAATAACCCCCAAAACAGGGAATTAAAAATCAAATCTCCCTGAATTATTCTTTAGTTATTTTACATAAACAGCATGTGAAAAAGCTAAAAACAAATTACCCAATTTAGGGTAAAAACGATAAAACATATACCCCAAAGGGATGAACAATAAATTTACTCTGGATATGACATCACATTTTTGAGTTATCTACACACATATAATTTTAATCATGAGGGATTATGAGTAATTTCTCTAAGGTCTTAAATTCTCATTTTTAATATTGGTATATTATATATTTAAACCCATTCACATTAGATAAGGTGGGTTAAATTTTAGAACAATTATGGCAGTCTCCCATTCAAAAATATTACAAACCAGAAACTTACTTGTGGGGGAATAATGTTTTCGATACTGATACCAACATACACCAAGCGTTCTTTCCTTTAAGTGAAAAACAAACAAACATAAAATAAAAATAAGATTGCTAAAAATAAAATTGTTATGAAAATATCACTAATACAGACAATATTAAAATCATTAATTAATACAACTTCATGGTAATAGCATAGGCTATGTCACAGACATGTTAGCTATTATCTATAAAATTTAACAGAATATTGGTATCTGTGGGGAGTGCAAAATTTCCTAGAGATATGCAAATTATATCTTTAGAAGTGACTTATACCAATGAAATTAAACCTCTAACTGAAGTGGACAAGGAAACTTTATGAGGAGTCATGCTGTGACTTACTGTTAATATCATTAGATGGAAAGCCACATTTGATTTGACAAACTAGATAGTTGTTATGTTGGAGGAAGTTTTTAGTAATATTGTGTTTATGCAGTTATAATCTCATGGTAATAAACATCACTATAAAAATTGTGTAAACAGAACTATGTCAACGTCCCAGTGAATGACACTAAGAACATTCACTTCTTGATGTTGAGAAGAAAAAAAGCAATGCAGACATATGGCTCTGTACCCTCGAATGCCACAATGAAGACACCTTTAGAGCCAGGAAATGAGGATTTGAACCACTCATGATACCTCCATAGTTTCATTTCCAAGAAACAACCTTTGTTCATTTTAATTCAACAAATTAAATGAAAAACAGCAGGTGCTTTCTCTAGTTTCCCAAAGTTAAGCGAATTCAACAGAAACAGCTGAGCTCTGACATGCCAGTGTACCATGCTTTCTCCCTTTATTTGTATGTCCCTTATAGAAGGAAATTAATGCCTCCAGTTGACTAGGTCCTTTAGAGTACAGCCTTTAGTGCCCTGTAAGCCCTTGGCCCTGCTAATAAGAATGTCATGGTCTTTTTCGAGATAGGTCATGAAGCTATTAAATAAAAACTGGTATGTAACAAAGTAATGACATGATATGTTAAACACGACCTGATAAAAAATATACTACAGTGAAGTTGTAACGAAAAAAGGTAAGAACAGTACTAATTAGAATGAGTAGGGAAGACTTATGGATAAGTCAGAGCTTGAGCTATTTCTGTTATTAAATATGTTTGATATACATCTCCCTGTCCTTACAATAACCAACTTTGAGATATTAGTTTCATCCTTTATAGCTCAAAATCTTGGCCGGGCATGGTGGCTCACGCCTATAATCCTAGCACTCTGGGAGGCTGAGGCGGGCAGATTGCTCAAGGTCAGGAGTTGGAAACCAGCCTGAGCAAGAGCGAGACCCCATCTTTACTAAAAATAGGAAGAAATTAATTGGCCAACTAAAAATATACAGAAAAAATTAGCTGGGCATGGTGGCGTATGCCTGTCGTCCCAGCTACTCAGGAGGTTGAGGCAGGAGGATCCCTTGAGCCCAGGAGTTTGAGGTTGCTGTGAGCTAGGCTGATGCCACGGCACTCTAGCCTGGGCAACAGAAAAAAAAAAAAAAAAAAAAAATCTCTGCTTGCCCTTGGCTACAATTTCTCTAGTCAATTCAACTGAAAAAACATTCATTGACATTTACCATATTAGATCAGGATTTGTGTCTGCTTGGGAATTCATAGGTAAATAAGATATTGCTCCTGCCTTCTCAATTATTTAAAAATTGACTATAGTCCATTATGAACAAGTATAATGGAAACATGAAAAAGGAACAGTTAATTTTGTCTGAAGAGTTAAGAAATGTGGGAAGGATTTAAACAGGTGCTAACACTTGAGCATATGATTTGTGGTCACATCATTTTCTCGCTCAGTAATTTTGTGGAAAGATGTATCTTCCATTCCATCTCACTATCTAGCTCAATGATCACATTTGGCTACCTTATCATTATATAACCAAGCTGCTAAAATTTCAATTTCAGGTATCATATTCTCTGACTTCTACCAGCTAGCTTACTTTCCACCTTGCTCCCTCTTATGCACTGATCTCAACAATTCTTTGACTCCAGTAGAACCTCTACCCATTGACCCTACCCTCTTTTAAACATATGTATCACTTCCTTCATGTCCTTACTTTCCCCCTTACCTGGCTTAGGTGCCATGGTCCATCATTATAAATATTCCTTTGCATACACTTTCAAATTCCTTGTCTCTTTCTCTCCTTCCCTCTGTTATATTACCTGGAAAATTCCAACCCTGATTAAATCAATGCTCTGCTAGCAAAGAGCCAGTAATAGTACTCTGGAAGTACAGAGTTCTGGAGGGGAAGGTTTATAAATTACTGCGTGGGCTTCTAAAACATCATATTTCACAGAGCATCACAGCTCCAGGTCTGTAGACAGTTGCTAGCCAGTCACTAAATACTCACTGACACATCCCTCTTTTCCACCAGACTCTAGAGACCTCTATGGTAGAGACCACATTATATACCTCCTCGTGTTGATTAAACTGCGTGGCATAAAGTAGATACCAAAAAAATGCTAATTAAATGTTGAATAAATGCAGAAACAAGGGAAAAGATGCACTTGTATTATGACATATGGAGTAAGGCTCTAAGCTGCTAGGATGAGCACTAGAGAAGTTATCTCATAGATTTTAAAAAGATGAATGCAGGCCAGGCGCGGTGGCTCATGCCTGTAATCCTAGTACTCTGGAGGCATGATGGCTCACACCTGTAATCCTAGCATTCTGGGAGGCCGAGGCGGGCAGATTGCTTGAGGTCAGGAGTTCAAAACCAGCCTGAGCAAGAGCGAGACCCCGTCTCTACTATAAATAGAAAGAAATTAATTGGCCAACTAATATATATATATAGAAAAAATTAGCCGAGCATGGTGGCGCATGACTGTAGTCCCAGTTACTTGGGAGGCTGAGGCAGGAGGATCCCTTGAGCCCAGGAGTTTAAGGTTGCTGTGAGCTAGGCTGACACCACAGCACTCGCTCTAGGTTGGGCAACAAAGTGAGACTCTGTCTCAAAAAAAATAAATAAATAAAAAGATGAATGTAAATGCTAACTTTAGCAAAATGGATGAAGCCAACTGGAATTTACACTTGATAAATATTTGTTTTAGAAACACGCATAATTTGCTCTTTAGAGCTCCTAAGATTGACACACACACACACACACACACACACACCCTGAAAACTATAAATGACAAAAGCTCTGCTGACTAGATTATTGAGGAGAAACAGCAAACACCAGGAACAGTTTAGTTACTGGCTTTGTACCAGACTGGTCTTCCTGTAACAATAATTTTGCTCTCTTTTCTATGATACAATCTCACGTAGGACTGAGTGTGTTATCTAAAGCCATACTTACACAGATGTCCTCTTAAAAGATGACATTTAAGAAGATTACCAAGAATAGGAAGGAAAGCAAAAGAACTAGTAAATGGGAGATCAATAATGTAAACAAATGTTGTGCCACATTTTAACATAAATTTCTAAAATTTAAAGTATTTCATAATTGCGGTGGTATATCCCATATTGTATGAGGACATCGTAAAAAAATTTTCGCCAGCTTTTTCCACATGTAAATGGTATAAGCATCATAGGCCTCCAAAGAACAAGCAGATAAATCTAAATATCAGACGAAATTGTTAGTGCTTTATATTCTTCACTTTTAGAAAGAATATATTCTCTTCTAAATCCTTACTGGGGGAGCCTATTAGCTATGTACACTGCTGAGTCAAACCAGCTTCAGGACATGGAAAAACTGTTTATTTCTAAGGACAGCCACATTTCAGAAATACTAAGGAAAGGGAAAACCTAGTTTTTATTTGTGATTTATTTACATCTTGGGTTACATCTTTTCCAGTGTCAAAAATAGAAACAGGAGGGACTGCACATCAAAATAGTCACAAATAAGTGGGTCCTGATCAAATTAAAAAGGTTCTGCATAGCTAAAGAAACTGTCACAAGAGCAAACAGACAACCTACAGAATGGGAGAAAATTTTCGCATGCTACACATCCGATAAAAGGCTGGTAACTAGAATCTATTTAGACCTCAGGAAAATCAGCAAGAAAAAAATCAAACAACCCTATCAAAAAGTGGGCAAAGGACATGAACAGAAACTTTTCAAAAGAAGACAGAATAATGGCCAAGAAACATATGAAAAAATGCTCAACATCTCTAATAATCAGGGAAATGCAAATCAAAACCACAATAAGATATCACTTATCTCCAGTGAGAATGGCCTTTATCAAAAAGTCCCCAAACAATAAATGTTGGCGTGGATGTGGAGAGATAGGAACACCCTTACATTGTTGGTGGGACTGCAAACCAGTGCAACCTCTGTGGAAAGCAATATGGAGATACCTTAAAGAGATACAAGTAGATCTACCATTTGATCCAGCAATCCCATTACTGGGCATCTATCCAAAAGAACAAAAGACATTCTATAAAAAAGACACCTGTACTCAAATGTTTATAGCAGCACAATTTACAATTGCAAAGATGTGGAAACAATCCAAGTGCCCATCAATACATGAGTGGATTAATAAAATGTGGTGTATATATATCATGTAGTACTATTTAACTCTAAGAAACAATGGTGATATAGCACCTCTTGTATTATCCTGGATAGAGCTGGAACCCATTCTACTAAAGTATCCCAAAAATGGAAAAATAAGCACTACATGTACTCACCAGCAAATTGGTTTCACCGATCAATACCTAAGTGCACATATAGGAATAACATTTATTGGGTGTCAGGAAGATGGGAGGGGGAAGGAGGGGATGAGTATATACATACATAATGAGTGCAATGCGCACTGTCTGGGGGATGGACACGCTTGAAGCTCAGTCTGGGGAGGGGGGTGGGAGGGGCAAGAGCAATATATGTAACCTAAACATTTATACCCCGATAATATGCTGAAATAAAAAAAAATAGTCATCATAATCTTATACAGGATTATTCTTTATTATTTAAAATGTCTGTGGAAGGGCCAGGTGCAGTGGCTCATGTCTGAAATCCCAGCACTTTGGTGGCCCAAGGTGGGAGGACTGCTTGGGCCCAGGAGTTAGAGACCAGCCTGAAAAACATATCAAGACAGCCATCTCTACAAAAATAGAAAAATTAGGCAGGCCCCATGGCATGTGCCTGTAGTCTACTTTGGAGGCTGAGAAAGGAAGGCTGCTTTAGCCTGGCAGTTTGAGGCTGCAATGAGCTGTGATTGTGCTACTGTACTCCAACTTGGGTGACAGAGTGAGACCCTATCTCATTTAAAAATAAACTTTTTTTTTTGACAGAGCGAGGTGGCTCACTCCTGTAATCCTAGCACTCTGGGAAGCCAAGGCTGGGAGGTTCGCTTAAGGTCAGGAGTTCCAGACCAGCATGAGCAAGAGTGAGACCCCATCTCTATTAATAATAGAAAAAATTAACCAAGCATGGTGGCAAGCGCGTGTAGCCTCCTATCAGGAGGCTGAGGCAGGAGGATCACTTGAGCCTAGGAATTTGAGGTTGCTATGAGCTAGGCTGATGCCACGGCACCCTAGCCCAGATAACAGAGTCAGACTCTGTCTCAAAAAAAAAATTTCTTTTTTTTCAAATCTTGAAAGATATTCCGAATATTTGAAACACAATTTGTTTACAGAAATAACCTAGGGTCTAGCTGAGAGCATGTCTACAGTCCCAGCTATGATGATGAAGTGGGAGAACTGCTTAAACACAGGAGTTTGAGTCCAGCCTGGGCAACATAGCGAGATACCCATCTTAAAAAAAAAAAAGAAATAATCCAGGGTTTCTAAATTCAAAGCTATTTAGACAACTGATTTTTAAAAACTAAGTACTTTTATTTTCTAGTCAATATTATAAACTGGCATTTAAACTAAGTAGCATCTATTATAAGGCAGAGAGCTCAAACTATGTAGTAAAAACCAAACCAAAACAAAACAAAATCTGGGTTCTGGAGGCTTAATTCATTTTTAAGGTCCACTTTTCTGTGAGGTAAAGTGGACAATGGCTGCAGTCCCCAACCCCTGGTCCACGGCCTGTTAGGAACTGTGCCTCGCAGCAGGAGGTGAGCGGCAGATAAGCGAGCAAAGCTTCCTCTGTATTTACAGCTGCTTCTCACATCTCTTGCATCACCGCCTGAGCTCTGCCTCCTGTAGGATCAGCAGCAGCATTAGGTTCTCATAGGAGTGTGAACCCTACTATTAACTGTGCATGGGAGGGATCTAGGTTGTGCATTCTTTATGAGAATCTAATGCCTGATGATCTGAGGTGGAGATGAAGCAGTGATGCTAGTGTCTGGGAGCAGCTGCAAATACACATTAGCAGAAAGGTTTGACTACACAGAGACCGTGATAGATCAACTGCTTCTAGACTCATATCAAAACCCTATCAGTAAAAAAAAAAAACAAAAAACAAAAACAAACCCTATCAGTGACAGGCAAGTGACAATGTAGTAATAACAGAAATAAAGTACACAATAAATGTAATGTGCTTCCATCATCCTGACACTCTTCCTCCACTCACACCCCGCCCCCCAGATCTGTGGAAAACTGTCTTCTGTGAAATTGATCCATGGTGCCAAAAAGGTTGGGGACCGCTGGGTTTTAGAATAAGCTCACTCACTGCCTTAAGGCAAGGTAAATTTTAGGGGATCACGCTATTGAGACAGAGAATAAAAGTTAAAGTAGGGCCGGGCGCTGTAGCTCACGCCTGTAATCCTAGCTCTTGGGAGGCCGAGGCGGGCGGATTGCTCAAGGTCAGGAGTTCAAAACCAGCCTGAGCAAGAGCGAGACCCCGTCTCTACTATAAATAGAAAGAAATTAATTGGCCAACTGATATATATATAAAAAATTAGCCGGAGCATGGTGGCGCATGCCTGTAGTCCCAGCTACTCGGGAGCTGAGGCAGAAGGATCACTCGAGCCCAGGAGTTTGAGGTTGCTGTGAGCTAGGCTGACGCCACGGCACTCACTCTAGCCTGGGCAACAAAGTGAGACTCTGTCTCAAAAAAAAAAAAAAAAAAAGTTAAAGTAGAAGCAAATGAAGGTATAAGACAAAGCAGGAGACACTGCCCAGATTTTCTCATACTGTCCTAGTGGTACAAGTAGGCATCAAGTCCTACAGATTAATCCTCTGAAAATTCTCTCCAAAACCTCCACCTTAATTATCACAATGATTATCCTAATTCAGGCCTTATATGCTTTCATGGGCTTGCTACTCTAACAGCCCCAACTCTAACTCCTTCTTTTATTACCAGAAAAATTTTCTGAAATAAAGATCTAATTATACATTTCTCTTTTGGTGGACCCACCACTGCCTACAGAAAATAAGTCAAATTCCCTAGCCTGGAAAGCTATTTACAACTTGGACTCACTCTGCTTTTTTAGATGTATATCTCCTATCACTCTCCTACTCTTGCTTTTATACTTTGCCTTTGCTCGTGTTTGTGTTCTTTGTCTGAAATATCCTTTCTCTGTGTGTTCACGTGTAAAATTCCAATTTATCTTCCAAGGCCTTCCCTGATAACCCCAACTCCTATGAAAACTAAAATGCTCTTCTAGAATATTCTCATATTGCTTTTAATATACCTTGACTTTTCTATTTTATTATATCATTGGTTCATATATCTGCATTCTCAGGAAAAATGTGAGTTCCATGTAAGCAAGTGCTTTGTCTTACTCATCTTTTCTCTTCAGTTTGGTACGTAGTTAGGTACAAATGAAAGTTTAGAAATAGATTAATCAAGGAAGATACCAATAAATATAAGCTTGCTGTCTTGATTTTGAGCAACATTTTAAAGATTAGGCTCAAGTTCAGTCTTACATCTTCAAAGAAGCCTTCTCTGTCTGCTTTAGACCACAATGCAAAGGCATATTGAAAAGTGAGGCATCTCTCACAGCCAATAGAACACAATTCAGCACTTAAATAGTCTATTTCGCTAGTGTTAATTCTGTCTATTCAAAGAGATGACACTGATAACTGACTGAATCATACACCGGTTCTTACAGTTTTCTTATTATTCTCTACAACACTTAATCAGATACATATCCTCCACAATACTTGAGCCAACATTTATTCAGAAAAGGTTCTGATACATCAAAGGTTGGCAAACTTCTCCTGTAAAAGGGCAGATAATATATATTCCAAGCTTCGCAGGTCATAAGGTTTTTGTTACAACTACTCAACTCTACTGCTGTAGAACAAAAGCAGCCAAAGACAATATATAAACATACGAGCAAGGCTGTGCCAATAAAATTTTATTTATGGAGAATGAAATATGAATATCATATAATTTTCACATGTCATGAAATATGATGCTAGTTGGGACTTTTCCCCCCAACGGTTTAAAAACATAAAAAACATTCTTAGTTAATGGGCAGTATAAAAACAAGAAGCAGGATGGATTTTGGCCCACAGGTCACAGTTTGCCAATCCCTGCTTTGGATGGGTGCACTCATCTATATTATAATACAAAACAATTCTGCTATCATATTCCTAAGCAAAACATTAACACACACATCAAAATACCTTCGTTCAGCACGTTCTTTCTTCTTTAAGGCAACATCCAAATCCTGCAACTGTTCCTCTAATTTTTCACAGAGCAATTTCTGAAGAAGCAAAATAGATGAGTATCATTTTAACACCTTCCCACAATCATTTATCACATGCATGTTAAGCTCATGGGAACTGTGCTCTGAGAGTTGATACGGGGCCACACAATAAGTGAACAATGAAGTGTTCCTTGTGTTTAATTAAATAAAAGAGTTGCCTAAGCATCCATTAAACAGATGATGAGCACAGTATCTTTGAAATAAAGCATATATTAAAAAAATTTACAGCTTTGCCAAAAAATAAAAAAATAAAACATTCTGTACCTAATCTGCTAGCAATAGCATTTGATTCAACATATATGCATGAGTGATTATAATTTTAAAAAAAGATACCAAGACATTTTTAAGGGATAAAGTTATATGTAAAATAAAATATGATACCAGTAACTATTTTTGATTAAAAAATAAACATTGGGGGGGAAAAATGTACACAACAATGTCACATGGTTACTAGTTCAAAACAGACCTGAAAAATTGTAACCGATAAAAGTATGCTAAGCTACAGAAGTCCACTTGAGTGAGAAATGCATAAAGCCCATCATTTAGAGATTGGGGGGGGGGGTCTTACTATGTTGCCTAGGCTGGTTTTGAACTCTTGGCCTTAACAGATCCTCCAGCCTCAGCCTCCTGAGTAGCTAGGATTATAGGTACATGGCACAATGCCCAGCTTAGCCCATCATTTTTAAGGCAAAATGAGACTGGTTTTGTAAGAGAAAAGTACTGAATGCTTGCAGTAACACAGAAATATCCTGTTCTTCACCTTTCAAAGGAAATTTTGCCTGAATTAAGATAGAAGAGAAAGATAATACATGTTTCCCCTAACCTTGATAACACCATCTATAAAATTACTGACAAAAAGAAGTTAGGTAGAAATAAAAAAAGAGGATGAAACAAAGAGATAAACAGGAAGAAATGTATTTCTTCCCATCTGTATATCTAAATTTGGCACTCTTTGTGCTTATAACAAATTTGGGGGAAAATAGATTATAATTTTACAAAAATCAGAGGGCTTCAGAGAATTGCTTTGGAAAAAAACAAAAGGAAAACCTAAAAGATATTAATAAAAGGTAGAAATCTAAACAGAGGTAAGCACTATTTACAAATTGCTTTGAAGAATAAAGATATTCATTGGCCATTAAAAAGTAATGGTAATTTGAATACAAAATCAAGGATTGAAAAAACAGGTGGGCTGGGTCATACATGCTGGCAAGGGGGGCAGAACCATTCTCCATCGGGGATGATCATCAGAGGAGGGCGAAGGCAGGCAGTGTGGTATCCACTGTCACAAGAATCACACAGAAGAATCTGAAATAAACCACATTAATGTCAACCTAACTACAACTAAAATTCAATGACTCTTAAAGACATCTCAATATCTCAATATTTCTTATTACTATACAGCAACGGACTCTATTTCCATAAAGTTAATAAAAAGAAAAGCTTCACAATTAGGGATGTGACATGCCAATATTTAAAAATTTTTTTAAAAGCTAAAAAAAAGTCAAGCTACAAAATTTAGTGAAACATAACAAGTCCTTCCTGACTTATGGTGTATAGCCATAAATGCTGTAACAACATACTCTTTTACTTTTTTTTTTTTTTTTTTTTTTAGACAGAGTGCTAGAGTGCCATGGCGTCAGCCTAGCTCACAGCAACCTCAAACTCCTGGGCTCAAGCAATCCTTCTGCTTCAGCCTCCCGAGTAGTCTGGACTACAGGTGTGCACCACCATGCCTGGTTATTTTTTCTCCCTATTTTTAGTTGTCTGGCTAATTTCTTTCTATTTTTAGTAGAGATGGGGTCTTGCTCTTGCTGAGGCTGATATTAAACTCCTGAGCTCAAGTGATCCTCCTGCCTCAGCCTCCCTGAGTGGAAGGATTATAGATGTGAGATAGCACGCCTGGCCTACCAACATATTCTTTATAACAAAGTTTTAAAGCTTAAGTATCATAAACTACCCTAACACACACAGAATTTTAAACACACAAAAAAAATCTATTTTAAATAGCATTCCAATTACCTACCTATAAGAAACACTCATGGTTCTTTCTATCATGTAAATTCAAATAAGGAAGGGAATAAGGTATAGAAAAGGAATGCAATTAGATTGAGGACCATCATTTTCAAATACAAAGGTTAGTAACATCAATTAGTCTGGGAGTTATTTTATTGCTATTTGAGTTTAAAATGACCAGTCTCTAAAACTTAACATGATATATTCATGTATGTTTAATTTTTTATTTTTAAATAATTTTAGACTTACAGAAGAGTTGCAAAGATAAACTTCACCCAGCTTTCACCAATGTTTATATCTTAGATAACAATGGTACATTTATCAAAATTAAGAAATTAACAGCAATACATTATTAACTAAACAACAGACTTTATTCAGATTTCACAAAGTATTCCACTAATGTCCTTTTTCTGATTCTGAATCTAGGATATCCTATTGCATTTAGTCATGTCTTGGTAGTTTCCTCTGATCTGTTAATAGTTTCTAGGTTGGCCTTTGTTTTCTATGATTCACAGTGGAAGAATATTAGTCAGATATTTTTTGTAGACCAATTCAGATTGTGCCTGAATTGGAGTTTATTTGATGTGTTCCAATGACTAGACTGGGGTTATAGGTTTTGGAGAACGGTGAAGTGCCCTGCTCATCACATCCTATCAGGGGTACATGACATCAATATGACTTATTACTGCTGATATTAACTTTGACCACTTGGTTAAAGTAGTATCTGTTGGTTTTTCTCCACTGTAAAGTTACTACTTTTTACTTTCCATACTCTACTGTCACGATAAGTCTAGCACACACTCAAGGGGTGGGGAATTCAGTTTTCTAGAGGTATGAGTATTGAAGAATTTGTGGATATAAATTAAAATCACTATAGCAATTAATAAATTAATAAATATTTTGGCAGGAAATACATTGAAGCTATGCATATATCCTTTCTTCAAGTTTTGTCCACTAGTTTCATGATTCACTGGAGATCTTGTCTGCAACAATTATTACTGTGGTGTTCTAATAGTGATTTCTATTTCCTCCATGCCTTCTACATTTGTTATTTGGATTTCTGTAAAGAAAATATGTCCCTTCTCCCCATTTATTTGCTTATTCAATTATTTGTTTATATCAATATGAACTAATGAATATGTATTATTTGGGTTATAATCCAAAACTACCATTATATAATTTGTTGTTGGAATTGTTCCAGCCATGGCCACAATGGAAACTCTTTCAAGGTTGGTTCCTATATCCTTAGGACTTTCCTGCACCCTTTTTGTGTGTGTGTGTGTGTGTGTGTGTGTGTGTGTGTGTGTGTGTGTGTGTGTGTGTCAGGGGTCTTGCTTGGTAGCCCAGGCTGCAGTGCAACAGTGCAACCATAGGTCATTGCAACCTCCAACTCCTAGGCTCAAGTGATCCTCTCTGCTCAGCCTCCTAAGTAGCTGGGGCTACAAGCACGAGCCACTATGCCTAGTCTGCATCCTCTTTTTTTTTTTTTCACATGTTTCTCTTTCAGGGTATGCATCCTCTTTTTTATTCAAGTACTTCCTTGCTTTCTAGGACTACTGATGCTCCAGACCCATCTTGTATTTTCCCTGTCCAAGTCTTAGAATCAGCCATTTTTCCAAGAAGCCTCAGTTCCTTTGTTGGAGAATGGTATTTAGAAAGCAAGATCTGGATGCTCTGAGTACTTGTAGCTACTGGGGATCACTACTTTCAGCTCTCTCAGAGGGCAGAGCTAAGAAATATATGTGTATATATACACATATATCAATATTTTTGTGCCTATATTAAAATAAGCATGTGTTCACACTTCTATCTTCAGTTCTAATCCAGCATAATAGGATTTACTCTAGCCTTTGGATTTGATGATAGTAAGGACCCTGGCTCCTTTTATCTACACTTTATTTATTTGCTCAACCCTAGTATACGTAAAGTTTCTGAAATTCTAACCTGTGGGGAGCTGGGGGTGGAGGAGGCTCACGGTTAAAAGTAAAAACTACTTTCCCCCTTCTTCATACAATGTACTACTCCTTGCTCCCAATACCCAGGATTCAGTACTAAGTTATTTTAGTATTATACTTAAGTTATATGATTCATTACATAGGCATACGTGGATTAACCTGGGCACCTAATTCCATTTATCACCTTGTTTTATGGTAAAATATAATCTAAATTTCAAATAACAAAATTCCAAGTAAACTTTTAGAATTTAAGTTATTTCTAAAATGAAGATTGTCTCTACTCTGCAATAAAGGTAAAATTGTGGGCCAGCTGCAGTGACTCACGCTTATAATTCCAGCACTTTGGGAGGTCAAGGAAGGAGGTTCACTTGAGCTCAGCCCAGGAGTTCGAGACCAGCCTGGACAATATATTTGAGTAAGACCTCATCTCTACAAAAAAATTATGAAAGGTAAAATCTTACTAAATAGGCTGGGTACAGTAGCTCACGCCTATAATCCTAGCACTCCAGGAGGCCAAGGCAGGAGGACTGCTTGAAATAAATAAATAAAATAAAAATAAAATAAATAAATAAATAAAATAAAATAAAGATCCTGTGCATGCTCTAAAACTTTCTCCTCCTTGATATAATTTCTGCTCAACCCCATTTTACTTCTCATTCCTCACAGCCCCCTGTCACTGACAGCTATTGTTCCCTTAGTTAAAATGCACTCTTTTAGTTTAAAGGGATATTAGAAAATGGTAGGGAAAGAACGCAAGTGTTGCTTTTTCCTTGATTTAGAGAGCAGAAAAGGATACTATCTCAAATCTTCTCTTGCCCTTTCTCTGCACAAAAATTTTGACCTAACTTTCATAGCCTTGATGATAATAAAATGTTTAGAATGATCTTCTCAGCATAATTTCAACACCTATTCTTCTCAGAGCTAAAGTCATTCCCCAGTTCTAAGTTATATCTTTTCCTTGAGCCCTCAGAAACTACTGGATATGATAAACCTCAATGATGAATTTACTTTTCAGATATGACTTAAACAGTAAGAAAGAAAAGCATACATAAAATAGAATTAACTTTCACCTAGCACGTAATATATATCACAGACTGTGCTACGGAACTTTACATGGGTTGTTAAAAACACCCCTCAGAAATATGTGGTATGAGTCCCATTTTACAATGAAGAAGATACAGAGAAAATATCAGCTGGTAAGTGGTGGAAACAGGATCTGTCTGGCCACATGCTGTCCCCATCAAATCACAGTGCTTTGTGTGTAAAAATTTTTTTAAGAGCCTGGATAACTACCTCTTATGAATTTTTCAAATTTTAGAAGATCTCAAAACATTTCTGCTCTACACAATTCTGCCCATTTAGAACCATCTTCTTTACATTTCTTTCTACTTAATAGTTAGAGCTTGCTTTAAAGTAAAATCTATTCAAAAGAACTACATAATTACTCAGAATTAGGTATAACAAGGCTGTTTCCTCAACATAGTCACTTATGAACTGCAAATGATGTATACAGATTAAGAACTGGTTCTCCAAATTTAGGCCATCTTTGAAAAACCTAATTCCTGGATAAGGAAGGAAGCTTCATATAAACTGGTACTATTCTTTTGAATATATCTGGCCTATAATTTATTCTCTTAAAATTGTTTTTTAAAACTGCTCATTTAAAAAATTTTGAAGCTCTACTAGGTTACTATTTGATTTGTATGTTTTTACAGGAAGGCAGTAAGGCTTTCAGGGCTAATTTACTTAAAGCTTGCACTTCAGAAATACCATTAGAAAGTAAGTAATTTACTTATTTAGTAATTTATTTATCTATTGACACAAAGTCTCACTATGTTGCTTAGACTAGACTTAAACTCCTGGGGCACAAGGGATCCTTCTGCCTCAGCCTTCTGAGGCACTAGGACTGCTGCATCCAGCAGAAATACCATTATAGTAATTTAAAAGAAAAGAAGAAAAAAATTAAAGAAAAGGAACAGAATTAGAAGTACTTGAATAAGTTCATCCATTTTTTTTTTTTTTTTTTTTGAGACAGAGTCTCACTTTGTTGCCCTGGCTAGAGTGAGTGCCGTGGCGTCAGCCTAGCTCACAGCAACCTCAAACTCCTGGGCTCGAGCAATCCTTCTGCCTCAGCCTCCCCAGTAGCTGGGACTACAGGCATGCGCCACCATGCCCGGCTAATTTTTATATATATATCAGTTGGCCAATTAATTTCTTTCTATTTATAGTAGAGACGGGGTCTTGCTCTTGCTCAGGCTGGTTTTGAACTCCTGACCTTGAGCAATCCACCCGCCTCGGCCTCCCAGAGAGCTAGGATTACAGGCGTGAGCCACCGCGCCCGGCCAGTTCATCCATTTTTGAGACGAGATTGGGGTACATCCTTATTAAGTAGAGAAAATATCAATATATAAGCTAGGTAGAATGAAAGCAGGATTTTGATCAGGGCCTCCTTTGGATTGGGTTATTTGAGAACTAGAAATAAAGGTTACTTTGTAGCACACAAGTTCTCTATCATTAAAAATTCAAATCACCAGGTGGGATGGGGTGGGGAGAATTCAAATCATGATCAAACCCAGAAGAGTTAGGTTGCTCTGGGAAACCACAGCATACCCATAATATGAATATTGTTCATTTAATCAAGTACATACTAGTTCAGGATGGTTTGGAAGGCCACATTTTTTGCACGGTTCATCATCATCTGCTAAGATGGCTTCTTCACTTTCCTTTTCCTCTTCCTCTTCTGAAGCTGCAGATGATTTTTCACTGTCAGACCCTTCACTTTCATCATTGCTGGAATATTTCCACCTGCCACGTGTTCGAGAACCAGTCCATCGAACTTTGCCTTTGGGTTTTATCTTGCATAAAATAAAAAATTGGGATATTGTGATATAGTAAGAATGTCTTTTTGAAAAAATCTTGATTACATGTCCATTATAGAATATTAAGTCAATATACAAAGAAAAATGAAAATTATTATACCCTCATCACCAGATGTACATACTATTAAATTTTGCTATATATTTCTATTATTTTTTCTATATGTTTGCCTTTCTAAAAAATGGAATCATAATGAACATTCTTATATTTTTCCTTGTCAAAAAATATTCTTCCAATATCACTATAAATGCCATCACATAGCTGTATTTATCTAAGCCCCTATTAGACATTTAGGTAGTTGTTTCCCATTTTTTCACTTTCATCAACAATGTACTGTTATCCTTATAAGTATAAATTTTTATGCACATCTCTGTAGTTAGGATAAATTCCTCGAAGAGGATTCTGGGTCAAAGGCCATGTATATTTTAAATACTCTATAACAGAATGACTATATTCTCATCTATTGTTATATAAGATTTTAAACCTTGTATTAGAGATGAATTTAAAAATTTTAACTAGGTTAGAACTGTTTGCAAAAATCCTGACAAACAAAAAAAATATACTCAGAGAATAAATTTATAATGCAATTAACAGGTTTTTATTGCCTAGTTTTGTACTTTTTAAACTCATATTTTAGTTCATTCCTACACTACAGATCTCCAGCAAAGAACAAAGTATTTCTAATAAAAGAGGAAGCTTTTTTTTAAAGAATTAAAAATTCAGTATTTCAGGGAACACAAGATTACTTACAATGAAGAATAATCTAATCATTGACAATAAATTAAAAACACAAGTGGTACTTTTAATTATAACAAACTCCCATAGTCTAGCCAAAAGACTTATAAAAGATTTGTTTAAAATAAGATGGCCATAGAAAAGAGGATTCTGGCTTTTAAGACTAATGATTAAAATGGGGAAATAGGCACTCTCATACACCGGTAATAAAATAGTATATTAATGGGGCCTTTTTGGAGGGCAATGTGGCAATATCTATTAAAACTTAAAATACACATGCCCCTTGACCCAGCAATTCCAATTCTAGGAGTCTATTCTAAAGAAATACTCACTCATGTCCGAAAGGATCTTCAATGCAGCATTGCCTGTAATAGTGAAAAATTGGAAACAACCTAAATGTCAATCGATAAGGGGGTGGTTAAATAAACTGAGGTACATCCACACTATGGAATACTGTGTGGCCGTTAATAAACAAAAGGTAAACTAAAGGTATATCTACTAACATAGAAAGAGTTCAGAGACACATTATTAAGTGAAAAACTCAAAGAAAAAAGGAACATATTTGATCCAATGATCCAATTCATTTTTTAAATGAATAGGTAAATGTTTATAAATATTCACATGAATGCATGGAAAAAAGATTAGAACGATGTACCCCAAACTGTCAATAGTAGTTATAAAGAATTTTCATTTTATAATTCTACAGGTTGGGTATTACTTGAGTAGTTTACAAAGAGAATATATTCCTATACTGCCTGTAATAAAAAAAAAAGTTAAGACTGTGAAATTTAATATATGGAAATAACTCCTGAGAAAAGGTGTCCCAGATTTAGGGACAAAGATAATTTTTTTTTCAGTATTTGATGACTAAGTTTTAGCCAAAAGCAAAAAGCTATAAATACTTAGAGACAAATATTTTTAATTAAAAATTAAAACTAAGAGTAGAAGTTTTACCTTGCTTACTTTAGAATTTGTATCCTTCTCCGATTTTTTCAAAATTTCTTTTTTGTCAGTTTTTTGCAAAGATGTTGACTCTTCTTCCACTTCATCTTCTCCTTCTCCCCTTTTTTTATCAGCTTTCTGATCTCTGATCTCGGCCACTTTTGCTGTGGGTCTAGATATTCTTGGAGACCTCCTTAAAGTACGACCCACATTTGTTTTCTCTTCTTCCTTTTCTGTCTTCTCTTGTTTGCTTTCTGTTTCTAGAATTTTAGGGGGAGTCTCTGGCTTCTTTTTCCGACTGGATATCCTAATTGTTAATTTTATGCCCTCTTTCTGCCTTTCAGAAGTTATCTCTGTATTTTCTGAGGCAGTGGTTTCTTCTTCAGGAATCAACTTATATTTAAATTTGCTTTTTTGCATAGAACCCTTTGTCTCAGAAGGATCCTCTATAACCGAGGTCTTGGCATTGTCCAGATTATCCATTTCTATCTTCATGGGCTCACAATCCTCTTGTACAATTTCTGGGTTGACTTTTTTCACCGGCTGACCTTCAACAGAACCTACCAATTCTACCACTTCTTTTTCTGAGGCTATTTTCTCACAGTGGTCAGTCATATTAGACAGTGGAGAAGTTTCAGCTACCTCAGGAGAGCCAGGTTTTTCTGATTCTAGAGTACTCTTTGGAACTTCTTCTGGTATTGGACTCAATCTTTGTGCATCCTTATCAAGAAATGTCTTTTTGGACTTCTCTAACTTTTCAAGACATTCTAGGATTGGTGGGCGCTTATCCTTCTTACTTTTGGGAGATTTCTCTTCAACTTTCATGGTATAGGACTCAGTGGTAGACAAAGCAGTTTTTAAAGAGAGATCCTCTGCCATTTCAGAAGACTCGAGAGAGGTTTCCACTTCTGGAGGACTTGGTTCCTCTACCTGTCCTTTTTGACTCTGAGTCTCTAAGATTGATATCGAACTATCTACATCTTTCCCTAAAGAGACAGTTTCTTTCTCAAGCTCACCTATTTTCACACTCATTATGACAGAATTTAAGGACTCTTCTCCATTTCCCTCCACGATGACATTTCTGTCTTTAGAGGGGATACAACTATTTTCCTTTGTATCATAAAACCTTGTCTCTATTTGTTCTGTCTTAAAATTTGGAGTTACTTTTTCATCACTGACTTCTCCATTTACCAGTTGTTTTCCTTCATGACCCAAAGCAGTGATTGTAGAGATCCTTATACAAGTCTCTTCCTCTTGTTTTATTTCATCTTTCAAAAACTCTTTTGTTGGAGTAACTGATTTACACAAAGGTCCTTTGACTGGACTGTCGAAATCATCACTCAGTTTAATTTCTCGTTTTTTTAGTGGTATCTTGGCCTGCTGGTCATTTTTAAGTTTCTCAGTTTCTTCAGTAGATTTCTCAGTAATTTCTTGAGAAGATTTAACATTGCCACCAAATTCTAGCTTCTCAGGTTCCTGGGCCACTAGCTTCTCCATGCCACCCTTGATATCTTTAGGATCTGTTCTGCATTCCTTCACTTCGACTTTAATGGGTTTCACATTCTCCTTGAAGGAATCACTTTCTTCTTTGATAATCTTTTTTTCCTCACTTTCTGGCAAAAGTTTGTCTAGCTTCACTATGACTGGCAGTTTCACAAGTTCCTTTTCATCTTCTTTTTCTGTTTTCACAGTACTCTCTTCTAGAACATTGGCCGTAGAATGGTTTTCTGAATCTACTGGTTGCTCTTCACCTTTCATCTTTTCATTTTCCTTCTGTTCCTCTAAAAATAAGAAAAACTTTAATTACATGAATAGAAGCTTTCAAGGCTATATAATATAGAACTTCATAATATATTTCCATTTGAAGTTTCTATCTAAAAAGAGGTGGCTTTTGTCATTGGTATTTGATAATAAAAAATAAAATCTGACAATAAAGAAAATTATAAAACTTTGAAGCATTAACTTCTAGATATTAAAACTGTTATTTAGCAAGACTCGGGTTACTTCTTTATACTTTTAGCTTCAGTGTTCTCAATGGAATGCAAATATTTATACAGTTTAATTTATTCAAGTTCAAGAGATAGCTCAAAAATATGAAATTGAAAATATTATATAAAACATTTCCAAAAGACCACATTTGTTTTATAAATTGACAACTGTTCTCCTTTGCAAGTCATTGAGCACTTCATTTCACTGAGGTTAACATGAGCATGACAGTGGGAAAACAAAAAATATACAGAGAAAAAAAGCCCACAATCTTATCATCCAGAGGCAATCACTAGTAATATTTTAGGTTACTTCCTCCTAGTCTTGTATATTTTTCACCAAGCTGGGACCATGTTTGCCTCAGTTTTTTTCACTGAAACATTAGCACTTTCTTATGACGTTAAATGCCTTTTATAAAAATTAAATTAATAATTATATAACATTCCTCAATGTGCTTACATTGCAATGTACTTTGTCAAATGTCATTACTGAACATTTATAAGTTAATATTATACAAGAAACTATTTAGATTTATGTGTCCATTCCTCTTTTTATAACATTGGCTATATATGTGCAACCTTTACGGAATACCTAATATTAGTGCAGATTTAAACATAACAAAAGCTATGTTCAGTAAATAGCATAATCTTTCAATGGGATTACAGAGATTGCATTTGTGCTCAGATTCTCTTTTCAGAATTCATTAACTACTAATTTTATCTACACTTTTCATCTCTTCAGCCTTATCCTTCCTACTTGAAAAACCTTAATTCTAAGCAAAGTTTTACCAGGATATGAATTTCTTTATCTAAAATCTTGAACAGATTCTTGTCAAGTCTATAAACCAGACATTTGACATATTTCATAGGAATTTAAATGGGATGGATTGAAGTGAGGAGATGAAGTGGGGCATGTTTTCTAAAATGAAAATTCAATATTCAGAACCTTTCAGAGTCTGAGATTAAAGTAACTCTAATCAATATTATTCTTCCTTCTTTACATTGTTAGTGCTATAAGGAATGCTGCTAAATATTTAAAGAGATGACAGTGATTATCGAATTTGCATGTCATCCTTTTCCCACTCATAAACAGGCTTAATAAATTCTCATTTATTTTGAGATTGGTTAGAATATCAGGCAATATAATTAAATGAACACCCTCGTTAACAGTTAAAATACAGATTACTATCTTTAAAAATAACTTCCACTTAATACTAAGCATTTACTGAATATGAGTTAATATTAAAAATTAGCCAGGTGTAGTGGCGCACGCCTGCAGTCCCAGCAACTTGGGAGACTGAATCAGGAAAACTGCTTGAGCCCAGGAGTTTGAGGTTGCAGTGAGCTATGATTGTGCCACTGCACTCCAGCCTGTGTGACAGAGTAAAACCCTGTCTCAAACAAACAACAACAACAAAAAGTTGCATATACAAGTGTTTTACACTATTTTTTTATTTAAACTATTTCATTAAAAATTAAGATGCTCAAAAGTCAGACAAACCTTAACGCCCTCACATGTTACCTCTACACTGGCCAACTCTGTGCAACCATGGGAAAATTACCTGAACCTTTCTGTGTCAGTTCAGACTCTAAACTCTCTAAAATCAAACTACAAATAGCTACACCTCAAGGAAGGGCTATGAGGATTTTTTAAAAGGCGAAGGATATGAAGCACTTTTATAAAGGACTTGGGAGCCATTATTAATTATTTGGCCCTTCTTACCATAAACTTTCAGTCACATCAGAAAATACAGGGGTTACTAAAGCTGCCATCACTTTTTTGTTTTACTCTGTTAACTTTAACTAAAAAGCAATTTCTATTTTTCTTTACCTTTTACTTTTTCTAACTTTCCCAATTTGTGAAATGATTAACATATCTATATCTTCTGGGTTGATAATGAATACACATAATACTACATATAAGGCCTTCAAAAGAGTGGCACATGGCAAAGCACTAAATTTTTGGTAATATTATAATATATTATTATTGGGAAGATCTTATACCCTTCAAGCCCAGTTAAAATGTTACTCCATTTTACAGTTTTATCTGATTCTTTTCTTATAAATAATTAACTGCTTCTTCTGTTGTGTTTGCACACTGTTTTCTATAGACTTTTATAATAGCACTTATTGCCCAGACTTAAAATTATTTATTTACAAATCTATCTGTCCTACTAATCTAATGAACTACTTTTCTAGGGCAGAATCATGGATTATTCACTGGCAGTAAGACACTCAAACATCTGATTATTAAACTGAATAAACTGAAATGGCAACAAATTCTAGCCTAAATGTTGACAAATAACATCAATACCTTTTATTATGTAGTTTTTATTAACAGAAAGTATTTCTGTATAGATTGCAAAACAGTATTTTACTTAAATTCTTTGAAGTATATCTCACCAACTTACAAAGTGAGATTTGGGCAAGGACATGACACATTTAACAGATACTAAGGTAAACTACATTGAAGAAGGACCAATAAATCCTTAATAGACCATTTAAAATATAAGACAAAACTAAAGATTCCAAAACAAAATTAGCTATGGATGTCAACTAACAATTCAGAGGTTGAAATATTCAAACTCTAATAGTAATCAAAGAAATTAAAATTCAAAAAGCAATATTTTTAATCAAACCAACCAGCAAAGTTTTTATTTAGAGATAATGGTCAAAGTTTCTAAGTATGGTGAAAGAATTATGCTCATACACTTATAGTGTTAGTATAAACTAGGTACAACTACTCCATAATTGTTCAATAAATATTTACTGAGTGCTTGCTTTACACCTGGAAACTTCTTTAGAGAACTTTTAAAGACATGGGAAAATTCTTAGGGTAGAATGTTATGTGAAAAACTAGAGTATAAAATTGTATTTTTATGTAATTTCAATATGCACAGAAAGAAATAGGCCATGATCTCACTTATATGTGGAATCTAAAAGAATTAAAGTCATAGAAGCAGAGAGCAGAATGGTGGTTATCAGGGGATGAGGATATACGGAGACCAGAGAGTTGCTGGTCAAAGGATACAAAATTTCAGTTAGACAGGAGGAATAAGTCCAAGAGATCTACAGTACAGTATGGTGACTAGAGTTAATAACAATGTACTGTATACCTGGTAATTGCTGAGAGTAGATTTTAAGTGTTCTCACCACAAAAAAATAAGTGAGTCAATACATATGTTAATTAGCTTGATTTAGATATTGCACAATGTACATATTTCAAAACTTCATGTTGTATACCATCAATATATATATATTTGCCAATTAAAAAGAAAAGAAAAATAATTTGAAAAAGTTTTAAAATCCCCCAATCTGGAATGAGGACAAGATATAAAATACAGGATGAGGATGTCACACATTGGGCTCTCCTGAATGCAGTGAGAATCCTAGAACTGCTGCCTATAGAGCTATTAAATAACAGATACTGGCTTCTATGGAACATGGAGGCTTTTAAGACAAAGTGGTTCCTACACCTTCTCAATGTGAATCCCACCTACTTGCTCTTGAATGCTACCTGAAAGAAAACAGCTTTTGGATGGCCATATGAATTGTAGCAAGGACTACTAAAGACTAAAATGTTGCTCCTGCTAGCAAACTCTGATCAGTATCTATAGACTGATACCAAGTGTGGTCTATAATAGTCTTGTGACTCTGAATATTTAACTGAACCTAAGAAGACTCCCAATGGGCACTGGAGATCATGAAATTACACCATACAAGAAAATACTGTATTGTGTAACTCATTCACTAAGTAAAACATTGAATATGGGCCAAGTTTTGAGAGGTTATCTAGTTCACAAGTTTACCATAACTATGCTGTGTTCTACTTTTAACTTTTTTACATAAAAAAGTCCCTAGATAATGACACAGTGAAGTGACTCAAGTTCTTTTATCTTTACAAATGTTATCTCTTTCCAAAATGTTGTCGTCTTGAATTTAAGCTTTAATCGAGTATTATGCTCAAATTGGCCAAAGGAGGATCACATGTTGGTTACATTTTTGTAAGTTTGACCTGTCTACATTTGTATTTAAAACCTTTTCCCCCAAAATACAAAAAAGAACATTTCCTAAAGTTGGGTTCATTAAGGAACCATATCCACATTATCTCTAGTCATATTAAAATTCTCATTAATATCACAAATAAAGAAATCATTATGAATGTCATTAATATCTGTGCTTTCATCAGGTACAATAGAAAATATAAAAAATGATTTAACATCTTATCTCATTTGTTATAAATTATCTATTCATTATGAGCAAGAGTATTTCCAGTTGTACTTAAACATATGCAAATGCTCATTCCAGTTTGATACAAATACTTTTTTGCTGCACTCAAACTCAACATAAAAAAAGGTTTTGATACACATGTAATATTTTTCTCTTAAGAATATATAGCTGTTGAAAAAAAAGAAAAAAAGGAAAACCAGGTTAACTGGGGTTAGTAGAAAAATAAAAATAAAGAATATAAAGCTGTACAAACATAGCATTTGAAAACAAATCTCCTTCAAATTTCAGTCTTCCCCTAATCCTTCCAATTTCTTCATCAGATATTTTTTCCAATAACTGTCATAGTTCTTACAATGGATAGTTTCATAATACTACATGTTATGGACTAAACTGGGTCCCCTGCAAATTTACAAACAGAAGCCCTAATCCCCAACATGACCATATTTGGACACAGGGTCTTTGGGGAGGTCATTATGGTTTAATGAAGTCACAAAGGGGGGTGCCCTGAGATAATAGGAATGGTGCTCTCATAAGGTTAGAGAAAGAGACACCAGATTGCTTTCTGC